TCTGCAGGGCGGCCGTGACCCAGGAGCTGCAGTCCTGGCACGAGCGTGTCCGCCTGCGGAGCGCGCGCCCCCACTCGCTGGACCGCCAGGGGGCCTTCCGCGTGCGCAGCCTGCCACCCGGGCACACCCTGGGGCCCCGAGCCCAGGTGAGGGTCCCTGGGCCTCCCAGCTAGACACTGGCTGCCAGACCTGCAGGTCTGAGAGTAGAGTGACATATACCAGCAGCCTGGTGGCCGGGTGATCCCCAGCTGGTAGGAACAGGCCCCCCTCTTGGCTCAGGAAGGCGCCCCGGACTCCCCAGGGGCACCTCCTAACCTTGCCCGTGTGTCCAGCTCGAGAGCACAGGCCCACATACGCTGGAGGAGATGGTCCTCTCCTAGAGCTGACACCTCGTCACAGGTCCTGCCCACATTAACCCCTCAAATTTCCTGACGTGAGGGGGCAGGACAGAGGGGGGTGGGGAAAAGTGTTTGCAGAAGCCAGAGCCTATGGCTGCCTGTCGGTGGGTGGCCTCCCTGACACTCCTGCACGCCGCCAAGCTGACAAGTGGTTGGGTGCAAGGACCCTAAGGTAGAGTGTCCGGGTTCAAATCCCAGCCCTGCCACTTACGGGTGATGCGATGGGCAGGTGGGTCAACTCCGCCGAGCCTCTCACTCCCTCTAAAATGGGAGAACTTGTATCACAGACCCTCAAGGACTTTCCGTGAGTTCATGTGTGTGAGGCGATTAGAGGGATGCGTAGAAAGTACCGGACAGCTGATGTTAGACCAGGTGGGCGGCTGGTAGGGTGAGCACCCTGACCTGTGGTGTAGGGGTGGCCACCTGGATTCTATGGCCCGGTTTTTTTTCATTCTGGAAGTGGAGCTAGCACCCATGGGTGCGTTCTCTGTCTCCCCCGCCCCTCCTACCGAAAGCTCTGCAGGGGGCGAACTCCAGAAGTGACCAGCAGGTGGCCGCTTTGAGACCCTAGATGCCCGCAGGCCCAGCTGGACGTCCCTCCTGCCTCCACCACTTCTCTGGCTGCAGCCGGCTTCTGGGCCTGGCAGCACCTGGCCCCAGTCCCAGCCGCACCCTCCCCCTTTCCCTTCCTGCGAGCTTGGGCCTGTCCTTGGCCCAGGCTCATCCCATCCCAACCTGTCAGACAGGGAGGGTGGTGAGAAGTGAGCCCAGGAAAGGGCGGGTAGGAGGTCAGGGTGACGGTCACACCCCAAAGATTGTTGGAGCGGAAAGAGGGCCGAGGGCAATCCCTGGGGGACAGATGGCTCCCTGGGCAGGCAGGGGCTGGGTCCTTATTGATCCTACTGACTGGGGCCACTGCCGGTAGGATCTGTAAGGACAAGAGGGGCACCTGAGGGTGCTGCGTGGACACTTCTGCCCCATCTGCTCACCCGCCTCACCTTTGTTTCTGACCCTGGCAGGTGCCCACGGTGTGTGTGCTCCGCAGATCGCCCGAGGGGGCCCCTGTGCAAGTCTTCGTACCTGAGAACGGAGAGATCATCAGCCAGGTGTAGCTACGGCCAGGTGTGCCCTGTGCTCCACGTGCTGTTCCTGGCGGGGCTGAGATCCCTACCTCCTGTGCCTTCTGTAGCTCCCGTGTCCCCATCGCGGGTCGATGACCTGGAGCTGAGACTTTTTTTTTAACACCAGTTTTTGTTCAAAAGTCCTGAGGATTTTTATGTCACTTGTCCTCAAGACCCCTGTCACGTGGTGATGCTTTATTCCTTGGAGACTGGCCCCCTGGACCCGAGGCCTCATTTGTCTGCCCGACAGTGTGTCTCCCTATGCAAGAAAAGTGGGGGGACCCAGAGGCAGACGGGGCCACGGCAGGTCCCCAAATGCTCGCCCTCTGATTCTGAGGACATCTGTGGAGAACAGCCTGGCCCTCCTGGCCCCTGTGGCTTGTGGACACCCCCCTCCCCTGTTTCCCAGCTCTCTGGGTACTGTGGGGTGCCAGGCTGGGGAGCCTCCCCCTCTCCAATGTGCTCTGTGATGCACACACCTAGTGAGGGGTACAGAACTGTCCCAGTGGAGGACTGCCTTCCTGGCCCCTGAATCCCGTGCAGCGCCCCAGTCTCTGTTTGCTCTCGGGGCCTGCGGGCTCCCAGCATCTCCTCACCTCTGACCCTTGAGTGTGAGGCTTCATTGCAGCATCAGGAGCCCCGGTGGGGGGCCAGCTCAACCTGTGACCACCGCCTCTGGGCATTATCGCGCTAAAAATTAATATTACACAAGTATGTTAGAGAGGCAGCACCTCTGTGGCATGCTCTCGGGCCAGGCTGGGCCACATCCTTCCACTCCCCACGCAGCCCTGCTTCCCCTCTGAGAATGGACTTCCATGCAACGGACAAGCCTTTATTTTTACGAACGGGGGAGTGACCGTGATGAAGGGTGTTGATGGATTGTCCAGCTGCGGAGAGCTGAGCAGGCCTGGAGCTGCTGGGCTGATACCATCAGGTGGTCCCTGGCCTATCCCGAGGCCTCTGCTGCTGGGCGCGGTACCCAGGTGGGGATCCTGCTTCAAGGAGACAGGCACTGAGCCGAGGCCTGGAGGGAACCGGGAACGCCAGGTTCTGATTTTGCGCACGCAGACCCTTCTCTGCGTTCCCTGGACTTGGTCAGCGACTGCAAATCCAGCTGAAGGCTCCAAGAAATGGATGCCTGGCCCGAAAGAGGCCCCGCTCTCCCCACTGGGCGGAGAGCGGTGTTGTAGGCCGCACAGGGGTGCGGCCGGCAGAGCCCAGGCCGCCCGGCGGAGGAATCGGGGAGGGGCAGCACCTGCATGTTCGAATGTCCCACTTTGGATGCTGTTCTTGTTTGGTTTGTCTCTGAGCCCCTCTCCCCAGGCCCGGCCATCCCCCTCCCGGCGTCCTCGGGGGTGTGGAGCCAGGAGAGGGCCGAGCGCCCCACCCTTCCACACACACCCGAGCGTCCTTTATGTTAACTTATTGGTCCGTACGATGCCCGGCCGTGTCCTCGGCTGTGGCGCTGCACCTGTGTGGGTTTTAGTGCCAAATACGTCAATAAAGTCTGGTTTTTGTGATCAGCTGAGCTCACTGTGGCCGAAGGGTTCTTTTGTGCCGAAAATCTCTGCCCGTTCCCCAGGATGCTGGCCCAGGGTAGCCTGGCCTCTCCGGTCCGTCTGGCCAGGCCCTGGGGAGCGGGTGGCTGGACAGGGTGGAAACAGGTCTCCCAGGCTCGGAACTGGGCTCCGGGAGTCACTTCCCCAAGGACGGGGACTTGGTGGCAGCCTCAGGAGGCCTGCCAGGCGGGGCTAGGGGGTAGTCAGTCGTGGGCCTGGCCGGTCCAGGACCACTTGCTGCCCAGAGGGGAGGCTCTGGTGGGAAACGCCCCGTCTCCAACGCCGGACAAGTGGGAATTTCCTTGGAGTGGTGTTGGGGGAGGGGGATCTCTCCGTCCTGCAGGGGTCACTGCAGCACCTGGGCACAGCGCCCCCTCGAGCCCAACCCAGGAGGAACACATGCCTGGATCTGAGGTGCCAGCGTTTCAGGTTTGGGGGCTCTGCCTGTCCCCCCCCCAGCCAAGGAAGATGCAGGGCGGGGCAGGCAGGCAGACAGCTGCGGGCTGGGCAGTTCCAGTCTCACCCCTGGTGCTCGGCCCTGGGGACCGTGGGCCCCGGCGGCTTCGGGGCCTGGCTCGCTGAGGCCCGGGGTCTCCATTCTGGGTGGAGGGGGCTGGGAGGGGACCCAGCACCGGGGGTCTCTCAGGCCCACACATCTCTCAGTCCAACTGGGTTGTGGGTGACGAGGCTCTGGGTTAAGTACTTGAGACAATTGCGATGACCTGGGCCCAAAGTGTCCGGGAGTCCTGGGGGGCGGCCTGCCTGAGGGGCAGCTCCCCAGGCATAGGTCAGACTGAGACCAGCTCAGAGGAGGGTGGAAAAGAGAAGCCGGGGGACCCCATTCGAGGTGCATCTAAGGGAAGCTAGTCTGGGGACCCCGAGTGCAGGGCGGGGAGAGCGGGTCAGGCAGGAACTCCCGGTCCAGTGCCATTTCCCTGGGCCGTGTCTGGGAAGACAGGCCTGAGGGGCCCCCTCTCATGGGGCAGACTGGGATTAGGAATTTGGGGAGCAGGATGGGGGCAGAAGCCTCTACAGAGGGCTTTAGGACCTCAGCAGTGACCCCCAGGGGCAGAGGGGTGGACACTGGAGAGTCACTTCTGAGCCTGAGATGTCCCCCACACAGGGAGCGCCCCGAATGGAAGAGCCGTGGGAAGTCAGGGTGTCCCATACATTCCCGCAGGGAGGGGCACGGAAGCCGGTGACGTGACCCCACCCGGGCACTGCTCAGCCGATTCCCTTTCTCCTACAGGACCGGGGCCCACCTTCTGCATCTTCACCCCGACAGTGGACAATCTGAGTCCCCAGGAAGAAGCAAGTCGCCTGGCCGGGTTCCCATTGTCCTTGGAAGCTGCAGCCCACTGCCCCTCGCGCACAGATGAACCCAAACCCCAACAGACAGAGACCAAACAAACTGACCATCACAGAGTTCACTAGGCATGTCTCTTGGAAGCCCAACCTGACGGGTGAGCCGTGGGCCCGGCCGTGTCTCAGCTTGTGGCAGCAGCTTGGGGGGCATGGCAATCGCCCAGCCCTCCCTGGAGATGTCCCCGATGGGCACGGGTCCGCCCACACCAACTGTCCCATTCCCAGCTCTAGTCTCTACACACCTGCCCCTTTTGAGACCTGGTTGCATAAGAAGCCAGGAGCTGGGGGCTCTGAGTGAAACCCCGCCCAGCTGACCACCGTCCAGGGGACTCAGGCCCATAACTCCCAAATCAGTGTCTGCACTCCCTGGCCCAGCCTGGAGCGGAAAACCTCTTACACTGGTCCTGGCATAATTGCCTTTCCACGGAGGCTCCTGAGGTCCACAGTGGGCGGTGGGCCTGGGGAAGCTGGTTCTCCGGGCAGGGAACCCACCCCCCAGACCCTGCTGGTTCCTGGGCCTCCTTGGCAGAGGGCTGGGGAGGGTGGCTCTGCTTCCCGCCGCCTCAGGGAATCGGCCAAGCCCCTCCCGACCACATCCCGTCGCAGGGTTGCGCCAATCAGAGAGAGAAGCCTACCAGCTCATCCTGGAGTTTCTAGACCAAGACGAAATGGTAAGGACACTCTCGGGAATGTTTTGAGGGCTGAGTGGGACAGTAGGAAAAAAAATGACACCTCCCGCTCCCTTGGGTTTTGAAAACCAGCCCTGGCTGCGAAAGCACCTGGGTTCATTCAGCCTGGTGATGCCTCCCAACCTGGGCATCTCAGGTGGCCAGGCCTCTGGACAGGTTTGTAGGAAAGGACGTTCCTCATAGAACCCGAGCCCCACTGGACTCAGAGGGCTGTGGAGGGGCCGGGACCCTGGCGAGAGCCAGTCCAGGGGAAGTCAAGGGAGCACCGGCGCCGGTGGGTCTGAGGTCTGGGCTGGGCGTGAGCGTCTCAGGTGTGGCCTGTAGGAGGTGCTGGGGGCAGGTGTTGCCTGTTCTGTCCTAGTCCGAGTTAGACAAGCTGACGTTCCTCCGGGCTGTGGGCACCCTGAGCCATACCGTCCTTGCCCAAGCCAAAGGCTCCATGGACGATTACTTACCCAAAACCGTGCTGGCCAAGAAAATCGAGGTGAGGAAGACCCAGGCTCTTGTGGGAGGTGGTGCGCCTGGGCTGAGGGGGGCATGTCCCAGGCCCGAGGCTGGCATCTCTCTCTGCCTGGGGTCCTTGTTTCTTCCTGGCCCCTCTAGATCTTTATCCTTGAAGAGACCAGTGAGCTCCTGACCAGCAGCGTGCGCCAGCAAGCCCTGCTCTGCATCGTGGCCCTGAGGTTCCTCCCTCTGCCCCTCCGCCGAGCCCTGGGGTCTGGATGCTGAGAACATTTGGGTTGGGCGGAAGGGCAAGATTTGGGGACTTGATTTCTGAACTGTGAATGGAGAGCCTCATGACTGCCACCTTACCTACCAGCACCTGGGGTAGTAGGGAGATCCCCCAGTTTCACTACCGGGGGCCTGTGAGGACATCGGTGTGGGGAGGGCTCTGTGGGGAGCCCATTGGAAGGTGTTTGGGGCTCAGGTCCCCATCATTCCCTGTGCCTCTGAGACAGGAGCACAGAAGGCTCTTCCACAGGGTCCCAGACACATAACCCTGCTCCCCCAAATGTCCTCCAGAGTCCTCTTGTCCTTCCTGCCCTCTCCCCCCAGCAAGGTGGACCCACCTTTCTACTTAGCCCAGAAACTGGACCTGGTGAACGTGGGCATCTCCTGCGTGTTCTCTCTGCCACTCATCATACCTAGCCAGGACCGGAAGGAGAGTGCCAGCCTCTACCTCCAGGTGAACCCCTAAAGGGGAGGAGCGTTGTCCCCAGGTAGCGGCTCCTGTCCCCACACACCCAGGCTCCCATCTCTCTGCTTCCGTAACAGTCTCTGTCTCAAGAGAAAATCCGGATTCTATGGAATAAAGAACTGATAGAATGCCAGATCCTCCCACTTTTCAAATTGAAGCTCCCTTGATCTAACAGAATGACTCTAGCTGGGAGTCCCCCCGGGGCTGCGTTTGTCAGGGAGAGCCCCCCAATGCCTGCCTTTTCCTGTGTGGCCTACGTTGGGCAGGCCTTGGTCCAGCCTGCCGGGAGGCCAGCTCTCGGGAAGATTGGGGTGTGGCATTGGAGTTGGACTGGCCCACGCTTTCCTTGCTCCTGAGGAGGGTCTGAGGGGACAGGGGAGTGCCTTGGCGCTGATGGGGCACCATGGCTGTCCGTCCCCCAACCCCCATGTGTCCTGACTTGCCAGACGGTCCAGGCCTTAGACGACATGTTGCAAGCTCTCGTGATGGACGGTCTGGCCCCCAGCATGGTCATGCTGCAGAGAATACTGGAGGTGAGCAGCCGGCGAAGCCAGGGCCGCGGCACCCTGTGATCCCCTGGTCTGTCGAAAGGATGGACAGGAGCACCAGGGCAGTCTGGGTGTCACGCTAGACCCAGGTCTCAGACCTCATCCGTTGTCACCTGGAGACGATTCCCGAGTGTCTGGGGTCAGGTTTGATACTCAGGCTGAAAGGCTGCCGCAGGGGTACCTGTCCAGCGGCTGGGAAGGCGGACACATTTTTCCAAAGGTTTGCATCAAACAGGACACAGGCTGCCTGCCTCCCCCACCCCCGGTGATGCCCCAGCCCGTGTAGTAATAACAGCACCGCTCTCATAGGTTGTTGGGAAGAGAAAGTGAGTTATTACACACAGAATACCGGCCACCAGGAGTATTAACCTCCGGAATTAATGGCTGTGCGTCTCACCGTTCAGAGAGCACTAGGCCCTGGGCCTGGCCAGCAAGCAGGAGGTGTGTGGCTAAGCCTCGAAGGGAACCCCTTCTCTCCACCCTCCCCAACCCTCCTCGCCTGCTGCCCTGCAGTCCACGCAGCGCCGTCTGGAAACATTCCTGTAGGAAACATTCCTGTAGGAAGCACAGACGGTCATACGACGGTCAGGGGCCCGACTCTGAAACGCACCTTTGCTTTGCCAAGTCTATGGGTGCAGTGTCGTCTGTATGTCTTTTTTGTTTGTTTGTTTTGGTTAATTCTCACCTGAGGATATTTTTTCTCCATTGATTTTTAGAGAGAGTGGAAGGGAGGGGGGTGGAGGGAGAGAGAGAGAGAAGCATCGATGTGAGAGAGACACATTGATTGGGCAAGAATCGAACCTGCAACCCAGGTGCATGCCCTTGGCAAGGAATCAAACCCATGACCCCTCTGTTTGGGGGCCGACGCCTTAACCACTGAGCCACACCTGCCAGGGCTGACCTGTGTGTCCCTTTGGCTATCAGGGATGCGCACACAGAACAAGGAGGGGGGGCAGTGGAAGGTGTTGACAACTGTCCTCCTTGCAGATTGTGCTGCCCTGGCTGACGATGTCGGAGAAAGAGCAGGAGCAGACCCGGGCCGTGAACACCATCTTCCAGATGCTGCGGTTCACCTGCAACTTCCCCCAGCTGTCAGTGAGTGCCGGGCGGGGCCCCTGGCCCAGGTGGTCTCTGCGTCCTGGCGCCTGGCTGAGCCCGTAGCTCTGCTG